GCTGCCGGGGTGACCGCCCCACTCCCCCAGCCCCCGGCAGGCACCCACCTCCTTGGGCACCCAAACCCCCTTTCCTGGCAGGGGAGAAGGTGAACCTTGCCAGGGGTGCTTCTGCCCACAGGGGTACTGGGCAGCTCTTCAACCAACACAGTGAACAAATAAAAGCAAAATGACTTGGAACACCAATGTATCTTTACCTTTTCAGACTAAGCTTTTATTTTTGATATTACAAACCAGTTTTCTTTATTCACAAATCACGGTTGTGATATAAACACTAATTTCTAAAGACAGATATACACATTTTCAGGGTTTGTAGGGTGGTTTGTTTTTTTTTTTTTAAATCTGTTTAGAAGTCACTATATTCCACATATGGTAGTAATAATTTTTTCATAAGTCATATTATCAGTAGTTATTTATATAAGTGAAAACATTCCCAATATATATAGTAAAAAAATTTCAAATGCTTTTCTTACATAGCTATTTCAGACATACATTTTAAAATGACTACTAGGAGTACTGTAGGAGCTTTATAAACAAAATATTTTCTAATACGGGCTGCACCCTCAACCTTTCAAGATTATTTTAATAGACTAAAAAGCCATATAATCATTTGGAGAGTGGGAGTTGTAAAGCCATCTCATGAAAATTAAAATTGCAAATAAAGTCTGTTATTCCCCACATCAGACATTTTCTGTGTGCAATTCCGAAAGAGATGTATCGTCCACACTTAGAATTGGAAGCCTAACATTTGGTAAACATTGTTCAAGTTGCTTATGTCGTGGTGTCTAAATCAAATATTCTTTTTTATTATTTTTTTTTTTCTTAAATAGGAGGCTTGTTTTGTATATCTTATATATAAATGTGGGGATTGAACTCTTAATAAACTTCAGTTCATTCCCTCACCGGTATATAAATATGTTACTGTCCCATTTTTTTTTTTCATTGATCAATATAATATAGTCTCTTTCTCTCTCTGTTTCAATTTTGAAGACAATTTCTTCTTTTTTTTTTTTTAATCCTTAGATATAAATGCTACAGAAACTTTGTTTTCAAATCTCGTGAAACTTTATTGATGGTTATTGTTCAACTGATCATACTGCATGCACATACGATGACAAAGAGAAAAGCCTGATCACAAACACTTTTTTTTAAAGCAGAGTTGTTATAGCAAGTTGGCAGGTTCACAGCGGTGAGTTGATAAGTTACTAAGGTGCTTGCCGGTAGGCACGCACGTCACACATGAGGATATAACTATCTGCAGCGGAACTGGAGCGGGACAGCCCCCTGCTTTATTTATTTAAATACAAAAACAAGAAGACCCGTGACAAACACCCCAACTTAGGTTAACTTGTAAACAGGACAACATGGAAAGAGTCCAAACATATGCACAGACAAGCTGCAAGGGGGGGCAAACCCCCCCCGCCGAGAGCCGGAGAGGCCCCTCCTGCCGCCGGCGAGGGTCCCTCTCCGGCTCCCCGAGGCGAAAGTTTGGGTTCGGAAAGCGAAACAGGGGCGGGGTGTCCCGCCATGAAAAATTGCAGCTTGTTTACACGACACGGTCATGTTTCAAAAAGTACCAAGCTGATGGAAATACCATGGTTATCTCTACTCAATGACTGCAATACTTGTAAAATGCTTATATAAATCTGAGTATGATTATCATATAATTCCATAAAAATGATA